AAAAAAATAAATAAAAAAAAAAATAAAAAAACACATCATAGTAAAATTAATACCTTCTCAGCTTCGCATCGAAGCTAAAAGAGACTGAGGTAATATTAAAATATAGAATCAAGTATAACCTATAAATAAGAGTTGCAACATATAAATATGTTTTACATATCAACCACTCACACCTTTAATTATTAAAGTTGTGGTTGATTAACCATTTCATATCTGATAGGTGTGACACCTAGTCTAGATGGTGGCGATCTTTGCTATCATAGCTAGTCGTTATGNGTGGCGATCTTTGCTATCATAGCTAGTCGTTATGCAAGCGGAAAACCGCGTTGTTATTGCAGGTCCACGAAAAGACCATTTGCAGAATGGCGGCTGTGCCAGGATAAGACGTTATTTGACTTATGGTTTGGGGGATATAAACATGATTCCAGGACAATAGTCATATCAAATGTCCAAGTGAAATGTCAAGCAAACCGAAATCGAGTTCGAGCGTCATAGGACTGTAAGTCTGAATTCATATGCCGTTTGTTGCGGTGAACATTAGGTCCAACGAAGAAACGCTTTCCTGTCTGAGATTCTATGATGAAAACTCGAAGTGACGAGAGGGCGACAGAAGTAATGGGTTCCGCGGCTGCTGTCAGTTTTCCATCCCGAACGCATAAGGTGGACGGCATTTACGTGTCTGATTGTCATAAATATTATGATATAAACATCATATTTTACTACTAAATATTATTATACATTAATAAGGTATTTGTATTAATTATATATAAAATTAAAATATAAATTCCGAAGTTTAGATTCACAATTAAAATTAAAGATAAAATTTTTTAAGCTATTACAAGTACAAAGCATACGACTTTTGGGTTCGTTAAAACTGTTATTGTGCGTGGAATGATTCATAAAAAGTAGTCTTAGATCTAGTATAAAAAGAAGGAACAAATCAATCAATTTTTGGAATATTAATATTGCCATTTAAAATTAAAAATATAAATGATGAGTCATTAAATTTACGTCAAGTGGAAAGATAGTGTAAACTTAAATTACGATATTATGGATCTATACTCAAGATTTAAATATACCAAAGATTAATAAAGAGTTATATAACATTAGACATTTTTGAAATCTCAGCATTGATATTTTACCATTCATAAAAGAATTATGGTCACATAAAGAATAATAAGCTTATAAAATATTACCTATATTGTTAGTAGATTAATCTACCTTAAATTCTTAATTGTCCATAGGTTATTTGTAAATAAAAGTGCTTTTATGTTTATTAAAGGATATTTGAGTACAATTATCAACATTAATTTTTATACAGTTATTAATACACCAACTTATACAGGGTGTTCACTAAGTCAGGAAACGGGTTTCTATTGTTCTCATTGTTTGTAACAATGAGAACAATAGAAACCCGTTTCCTGATTTACTGAACACCCTGTATAATTGTATATAATAGAGATAACCAATACTTTTAATATTCATGTTAAACGTCTTCTCTTAAAAGCTGTTACTTGTGTATAGAAAGCGAGAAAAATTACAAAGCTTAGTACTACAGAAATGACGATTTCCAAACTTAGATAAATAGGCCACATATTATTAAGTTAATAACCATTAATTTCTTTTTCTATTCTGTACTATAAAACATACCAATAAAATTTAAACTTTTATCCAGTAATCAAGATTTGATTTAATAAAAATCATAACTTATAGTAAGTTGATAAATTTAAAATAATTAGAAAATTTCAATGAATTTGTTGAATTAAACAGATATTTTAAAATAAAATCTTGATCACTTATTAAGTTTAACAATTTCATGTCACAAAAAGCTCGTTTTCTAAGGAGTGAATTTAAAATTTGAAAGTAGACAAAATTATAGTTTATTTAATAAATGAAGCTGCTCATCATTAAAAAACATTGAATGGTAGTTATAACAATCTTGCAAAGAAATAATTTTATTTCAATAATCTTACAATGGTTGATTTTTGAAAAAATAGAGAATGTTTTATTTTATTATGTATTTAATAAAAATATAACCGCATCTTATAATAATATCATACAAATATCCCACAAATGTTTAATAATTAAAATGTAATATTATAAGTTTTAATTAAAAAAATGGTAAAATTAATAATTATACACAAGAAATTATAAAATTTATTATAAACAATAATTGTAAACTTTATAATTTTTGTAATTTTAACTGTATTTGTTCATCAGGAACTGTAATTAAATCCAAAACAATACTTACTGGTTTCATTGTTTTTATTTTATATTTTTTTATACACTAGAAATTTTTTTTAACAATTAATAAGATCATGGAAAATTAATTACTAAAATTATCCTACATACCTCTGAAATAGTTGAACACATCTGTATATGTGCCATTTTTTGTCCAATACAAGATCTAGCACCAAAACCAAAAGGCAGTGATGCAAATGGTTCATTTACACCACAATACTTATTATTTTCAAGGCGTAACCAACGATCTGGTTTAAATTCNCCACAATACTTATTATTTTCAAGGCGTAACCAACGATCAGGTTTAAATTCATTTGAATTTTTAAAATACTTTTCATTTCTGCTGCTTGAAAACATTGATAAAATAACTAAACTCTAAAATTAATTAATTATAAAAGGATTTAGTGTATGGTTTCATACATAGTGATATATTTTAGATAAACACATTAATCAAAATAAAATAATTTTAAATCAGCTTTTATAAAACCTAATATTAAAGTATAGTGAAAAAATATTCAAAATCTAGTATTTCAGTATTATATAGAATTTAAGAGAGTTGGATTTAACTTAAAAGTTTATTTAATAATCCCGTACTAATCTATATAATATATTTTTGAATATATGATTGATAGACTCTATGAGGTAAGTAGAAGAAATATTTCGTTAAGATAGAAGTTTAAATTAAAAAAAAAAAAAAAAATTATAACATAGTTACAAAAACAAAAATTTTTTTTTTTTAACAAAAAAAAAATAAAAACAAATGAATATTGTTAAGAGTTAATGTGTGGTATAAAGGTATATTTACATGCCCTGATATACTAATCAATAGATAAAATATAGAGCCATTTAACATAATCTAGCTATAATTAAAATTTAGCAATAAAAAATTTAATTATCAATAAAATTTTATTTGTACTAATTTATTTTAAATAGTATTTTTGTGTTGTAGGAAGGGCTCGGTTTTTTAATGCAAATGTCCTAAAATTTGTTTCATAAATATGTCACATCATATTCAGTATAAATAACTTAAGATACATGTTTTGGCTTGTTTACATACAAAATATTTAATAATGGAAATAATTTTTTCATTTTAAGAATAATAAAACTATCTTAAACTTCAGTTATTAGATTAATACACTTACATGTGCAGGGATAACATGATGTGTCAAAAAGGTATCATTTGATAAAATTCTCGTGAGAAAAGGTGCCAGAGGATATAAACGTAAAACTTCCTTTAATATATTATTTAAATAATCATTTTCCCAAAAATTATTAGTACATAAACTTTGTCTAAGGTTATCTTGAATGATGGGATGCAAACCTAGACTATAAAGAGTCCACTGAGTTGAGTATGCTGTCTGAAAATAATTTCAAGCACATATATATATAATACAACTTTGTTATAAGATTTTGCTGTTAATTTACTAACAGTATCACCAGCTGCAAGTATAAAGTCGATAATAAGTCTTTTAATCATATCATCAGATATATTATGGATACTGGATATTGATTTTAATAATCCGTCACCTTCATATTCCATGAGTTTAGTTACCAAATTATTGGCTAACCGTAGAAAACAAATTAATAATAGAAAAAATACTGGATATTTAAAGTTTTATACATTAGTAAATTAAACATAATACAGTGGAACTTCAATGAACATCACTCATTTATCTGTCATAATTATTGTATTTATATTAGATAGGTATAATAAATAATTTATTACTTTAGGCTGATTATGGTTTGGATAGATCTATAAACTTTGATGACAGTTAATCAAAGTTCCTCTATACACATTAAAATTTCAATGCGTATAAGAGCTAAAGATTATACTAAGTGTCCCACAAGATTCTGACATCTTTTATAACTTTTTATTTAATTATAATTTCATAAAATTTTTTTCGAAATTTTGAAAAAAATAAATATTATGTTTTGAACATAGATTAAAAAGGCAATAATTAATAATAAAAAAAACCCTGCACAGGGGGGTCGCGGCACAGTGGTGACGGACCTAGTTGGATCAAGTATAATGATATCTGACAGTGATTAAAATCACTATCAAAATAAAACGCTTTGATGCAAATCTTTAGATA